CTCTGGGTGCTCTTACCTGCCCCTCCTCTGCCAGGTGTCAAGGATGTAACACACAAGGCAAGGAGGAGGACTTCTAGGGACAAGAGCCTCTCCTGTTCCCTTTCAAAATGGGTTGCTATAACAAAATCCCACCGACTGGTTGGCTTATAAACAACAGAAATTTATTTCTCACAGTTTGGGAAGTCCCAGCTCAGCATGCCAGCATGGTCAAGTGAGAGCTCTCTTCCAGGTCACAAACTTGTATACTTATATGGCAGAAGAGGCTCAAGAGCTCCGTGGGGTCTCTTTTAAAAGGGCGCTAATCCCATTGTTGAGGGCTCCACTCTCATGATCTCAGCACCTCCCAAAGGTCCTACCTCCTGTTACCACCATCTTAGGCATTAGGATTTCAACATATGAACTTTGAGGAGACACAAGCATTCAGATGGTAGCAGAGCCAGAGTTCCTGGCTCTTCAAGTTTTCCTCCAGCCTTCAGTCAGAAATCCCCATGCCTCACTTCCAATGTCACCCTGAAGTCACAAGCATTCACAGGATGGCTGTGAGAACCAGTGAGTGTGTATGTCACTTCTGCTGACTTCTGTGTTGACAATAGAAAAATACATTGCTCATGTGTAATATATATAAACTAGTGCCTCAAACCCATGCAGCTATGATGTAATAGCATACAGAAGGATATGCCCAGAAATAATATAACCCTCTACTTGTTTTAGAGTAGCAGTGGGATGTAATTGTTCAGAGCAAAAGCCGTGAAGCTGGATAACTTACATCCTGGCTCTAACACTTGCTAGCTAAGTGGTTTATCCTTTGTGTGCTTTGGATAATGGTGGCAGACTCCTAAGACTGGTAAGATTAAATGAATGGATACATATTAAGTACTTAGGGAAGTACATGGCACACATTTAGTGCTCCATAAATCCTATATTAATACAGTTATAGTTTCCTTCTTGATTTAATCACCGTACAAATGGATCCCTCTTTAATTTTATTAAGTACATAGGAGATTTTTGTACAAATAATATGTATAAAAGTAACATTTTAGACGGGTTCTTCTCTGTTGTTTAATTGCCAAAAACACAAAGAGATCACATATTAAGAAGTGTACCAGATTTTAATCGAGGAAGAAAGTCAGTCTCAAAACATTTTAGAACACAAATCCAATTTATATAATTGCTGTGCAAACAATTTTTGGTAAAACTTTCTAATTCCTGGCCTTCGCGTGGATAAAAAGAACAGCAGTCTCTTTTGGATAGCTGAGGATGGGAATGCAAAGGATTAAGATGTGGACAAGACATGTTTTCAACATATTTATCTAGAGAGCCACCTGAAGTGCCTACTTTGAGAACAAAGATGAAAATGTGAGATTTAGCTCTAGCCTCCTAAACTGGTCCCCTTATAGAGGTTCCTAGATTTAGTGCATGAATGTGGGATGGTATGATTAGAGGGGGCGGTGACAAAATTTTATCCTCATGGGAAAGAGACTGTTTAGACTTACCTTATTTCTCCAGCTTTCTCTTCCCAAATGAATCTCTCATCTTTGTTTCATTGGGGTCAGAAAGTTAATAAAAACTTACAGGAATACGAAAAGATGATTAAATATTTATTGAAAATTTAAATGTGATACTTAAAGGTACAGGTAGTCCTGGGGGTTCCTTAAAGGCAATATATTTTTATTTAGGGGGAAACCTTCTCTCAGAGCTTTATTTGAGTTTGACCCACCACTTGAGTGATGTTTAAATAAAAGTAAAATAGAAAATGCCTCTTAAGAAAGGATGGCCTAGTTTCAGCATTTCTCCTGTATTAATTTAGAGGGCTCATTTTTACATTGCCCACACGATAAAATCTAAATTTCTCATCTCCACAAGCTGACCTCAGTCCCTGAAGCGTCTTCTTCTATCTCGTCTCTATAGTGTCTCTGTCTCCATTCATCTGTAAGGCATGCTTATTCCTCCACACCTTTGCCCTTGCTGTTTACTTGGTTTTATTTCTGTTGAAATGTTGCACGTCCTTCAAAGGTCAGCGCTCTTGGGTGATTTTCTCTGATTTCCCGACGTCTGGAACCATAGCTGTTTCTTTGCTCTCTCAATCGTTTGTTTGTTCTTTATTCATAAATGCTGTTAATTCTGTCTACTGTTTTAACTAATTACCTGCATTCTTTTTACCATCATAGACAGTTAGCTCTTTGGGAGGAGAGTAAAATATTTCTCATATTTGTATAACCATACTGTACCGTATATATGCCAGAACTCAACAAATATATGTGGAATGAATGAAAAACAAACTCCCCCGCAAAAGTTCTCAGAACCAGAGCATACTTTCCCTCATTTCACTTGCATGTCATCCCTTTACTTCATGGTCATTTGGACTACCACCTTTGTGTCTTTGTATTTCTTCTATGACAATCTGATTATGGATACTCCTTTAATAATAATTTAATAATGAAATTTAACTAATCTAATAATGTAATTTAATCATGATTTAATTTAATTATTCTAATTAATTGGATAATTAAATTTAGTAAATTAATAACTTAGTAATTAAACCTCTTAATACTTCTAATTGACCTTAGGACAATAATTTGACTTGATGAGGTAAAATCCAAACTTTATTCAATGTCCTTCAAGATCTGATAGTAAATCCCACGTCACCCTCTCCTCACACTTTGTTACAGCCATCCCAAATTTCTTTGTGTTCCAGAAATGGTCTACGTGGAATGCTTTGTTCTTCCCTTCGCCCTCCTCTCCATCTTTAGGTGTGTTAGTCCTCGTCTACCAGATTCAAGATAAGCTGTTACTTCTTTCTGGAAATCACCTCTAGTTCCCCATACCATCTCCAGCCCTAGACTGGATTAAGCCTTTCTTCTTTGTGATCTAGTAAATAATAAAGATCAGAAAGACTTGGGTCAAGATCTGATTTTGCTACTTACCAAGTAGTGAGTTTAGACCAATGCTTCTCACAGTTCAACATGCATCAGAATCACCTGGAGAGCTGGTTAAATTGTGGCTCACTAGGCCCCATTTCCAGAGTTTCTGATTCAGTAGTTCTGGGATGGGTCCCGAGAATTTGCATTTATCACAAGTTACCAAGTGACACTGATGATGTTGTTCTGGGGATCGTACTTTGAGAACCACTGATTTAAATAATCTAGTTAACCTCTCTAAGCTTTAGTGTTACCATCTGCAAAAGGAGACTAAAGGGGTGTTTTAAGAATTAGTTGGGGTAATGTATATAAAGTGTTTGACATGAATTAGTCCTCAATCAATGCCAGTTAATATTGCTTCTGCATTATCATTGCTTTCATCACACTGTATTAAATTGCAGACTGAACTGACCATTTGCCAAGTAAATCAGGAACTTCATAATGAGCAGAGACTGTGCTGTTTTTATTATGGTACCTTATGAAGTGCATTAGTAAGTGCTAAATAAACATATAATGGAGTAAATTCAAAGTAAGAGCATTCCATAAATATTCAACAAAATAAGGTGGTTCTTTGTAGGTAGCCCCTATACAGAATGTTCCAGGATTCCCCAGTTCAGCTCTCACTATATTCTTGGTTTTCTTGAGACTGTTTTTGCTGCTTGGTTCCTAAATCACTTTTGGTTATGGTGAATCAGTCCCCACAGCTTCTGTTTCTAAGAAAATTATACAAGCAACATGGAGAATGTCTGTGAACTAGAAATAAATAACCACGTAGACTATTCATTCGGCTCTGTAGTTTCCTTTTTATACTGAATGAAAGCAGTTGCAGCACGAACGTATGCCAGCCTTTAACACTGGAACTGGGTTAGAAATGAACATGTGAAGAATTTAATTTGCAGGTCTTGGCAAATTCATGAAGCCTGCTCTTTAGAGAAACCGTGCCTCCTTTTCCTGTCAGCCTGTACCGCCATCCTCCTCTTTGACCTCAGAATCTCATGTTTCATATTCACTCATTAGTTCAGCCAGTATTGTTTTCAACGTCTGCTGTGTGGCAGCTATTACTCTCATGGTGGTGATGCCACACTAGGACAAAGTCGCTTCTTTACAGAACCGAAAGCACGGCATTTGCCAACTTGTACTTTGTTTGCATCCCTGTCTCCCACGCTAAATTGTGAGCTTACTAATGGTAGGTGCATTATTTAATTGTGTATCCAGCTCAGTATTTGGTACATGGTAGATATTCATACATACAGTTACTGTTCATACAGAGGAACTTTATCTTAACGGTGGTGAGAAATGGAACTGAGCACCAGAGATCAATACTGCTGGTCCATGAAAGGATTTGACACTAGATGTGTATTTTTTGACCTACAAAGTGTTATTTGTTTGAATTTCAATTAGAGCCAGCCAATAAAATGGGGGAGATTTTACGTAAAAATCCAGATCTCCGGCTTCTTTTGAAAAAGCCTACATTCCTAATTCCCTCTCAGCCGGCTCCTTTAGATGGAGCATGCCATCTCCATTTTACTATAACCCCTACTATTCCCTACAGTATTACATGTGTGTGGAAGAGTGTACATGAACATGTGTATCATGTTTGTCTACATGCATATGTGGTGAGGAAAGAATGAAATTCTTCAAATTCTACATAAATCCACTGAAAGTTTGTCTTTATAAGCTTATAACAACCTAAGTCCAACTGCAAATAATACCGTATTCCTTTCTTTTCTTTAATGATGTAGAATGCTAACAAGGATTTCTTTCATTTGAATAATATAATACATTGAGTTATCGATCTAAATTTTCTCCAAATTGCTTTTCTGCGTTTTTATAGTAGGTTTCCTGTATTTCCCAAATCACCTTGGTAATTGCCAGCTACTCTTCTATTGTGATATATATCCCCATCCAAAGTAAAATATATCTAAATCTATCTGGTTTGGTTTTCTTTCCCTCCCTTATGGCTATTAAACTAACACTTTTCATTTGGCTTGGTTTTATCATAGGAAATTAGGATACTTAAAAATATAAAATTGAATTAAAATTGTAGTTTACCAAACTAAATCTATTCATGCTTTATTTCAGTTATCTTTAAAGAGAAGAGGAAGCAAAGATTTGCCAAAATCTGAAAAGAAGGCTCAACAGACTCCCACAGAGGTATGTGGAAATAAAATTTCAGCTAGTACATCAGACATCTCTAAATGTATGTAATAATAAGCTACATCTATAAGTAGACATAGTAACCAGATACACTCATGTAAAACAGAGTTAAATTATGCATATCAATTATGTAGCTGTAGATGCAGGAGACAATATAAAGCATTCAGTATCTTTTCTTTAAAAGCTAGCGCTAACATCCCTGTTATTATTGCTTTTGCATTGTAAGCACACAGCAGAATGTCATTAGTACTTTATGTGTTGCTACATTTAAGAACTGTACCCATGGTGCTGATCTTGTTCACTCATAATTAATAAGGACAATAGAATAGCTATTCCTATAGTATCAGGAGAGAGTAAAGTAAGGAATGTTGTAGGAAGGGTGGCAGAGGGGAGGGAGAGACTCCTGATGGCTTTGGAGAGTCCTAGCGTGAAGTAGTTCTCTCTACCAATGACTGGGGAAGCAAAAGAAAGGAAATTAAGTAATAAAAATAAAACTTAAAACATGTCTTCAACATGGGCTTGTTAAGAGACTTAGAAACACAGCCACAGTAAAGACTAGGTCTACTTTTAGGGAGAGCAGAGGTGCTGGTGGATGTAATAAAGGAGATTTTAAAACAGAAGAGGAAATATTTAGGGACAGCTATGATACTATGGCTCGTTAAAAATACTTGGCTAGGGCTTCCCTGGTGGCGCAGTGGTTGAGAGTCCGCCTGCCGATGCAGGGGACACGGGTTCGTGCCCCGGTCCGGGAAGATCCCACATGCTGCGGAGCGGCTGGGCCCGTGAGCCATGGCCACTGAGCCTGCGCGTCCGGAGCCTGTGCTCCGCAATGGGAGAGGCCACAATAGTGAGAGGCCCATGTACCAAAAAAAAAAAAAAAAAAATACTTGGCTAGATATTGATTTTTAAATGTGTAAGTTGGGATCTATAGGACTGTAGCATATGTACTTTTTTTTATTCTTACAAGGGGTTTTCTCATTAGATAATAATTTTAACTAAAGCAATACTTAAATATTCAAAATTTGAAAAAGTTGATCTCACTCATTTTTTTAAAAGCATAACATATTAATTGTTAATTTTCCTCTTCCTCGCTCTCCCTGCTCTGTCCTTGGTTAATTTTTCCCCTGGTGCTGGACATGAACATTTATAGGCCTCAGCAGTTCTAGAATCCCAGAGTCTCCTACCAAAATCATCTCCTTTTTGCACCTTTCTCATCATCCCCTTAATAAGTTCATATATGCTCTGTCACCACAACTCTCGCACCGTGTCTTTGCCATAATTTTATGCAACAGTTCTCTTCCCCGCCTCACTGAGGGAGAGGTGCTATACGCTCCCCGTTCTAAAAATCTTAAGTCAGCTTTAATCAACAGTTTATTTTTTTAACTCATGTTTGTCCTATTCTTTTGTCCTATTCTTATACTTCCCATGGTAAAGCTTATTTATTTTTTTCAACAACATTCTCTAATCCAGGAATTCTTAACTGTTTGTTCCTGGCTCTGTGGACCCCCCACTCCATGTGTACAGGGGCACTTTTCTGCAAAAGACATATGCAGCTTTCATCAACTTCTCAGTGGAACCTGGGGCCTTACAACAGTCAAGACATGTTGCAATCCACCAGTTTTTATTTCATGCACAGAAATGTCCTGGGAAATTTGCAAGGACGCTATTATGGCCTTTGAAGTCCCTGCTATCATTTTCAATTCATTTATTTTCAGAGGTTATTACCTGTCTTTTTTTCAAAAACCCACCCCAGAAGATTGATTGGACTGTCTCAGATGGGAGATCTCAATTATAAAATAGTCCATAGTTGATTCTATTGCTCAGTCAAGGTTGAGGACCATTGAGTCACATACTTACGTTAGGGCAAGCATCCTATATTGTTGTAATTCACATTTACATATTCATCTCCCATGCTTAGCCAGGGCATATTGTAGGCAGGGGCCATCTTATTCAGCTTGCACTCATCGGTGTCTAGTGTCTGGCACTCTGCAGCGGGATCAATATGCACTTTTGAATACTCCCACGTCCCCCTTTTCTAGATGAGCCATATGAAATTGCAACATGCTGTTGTTCTGACCTACACGAATGGCAATTTCATATGGTTCAACCTGCTATTATTTATATAGCTTTTTATTTCATTTTATTCAGTTTCTTCTTTGTATTCCTCACATGTTCCTCCAGCAGCACAGTGACTTTATATACTGAGAAATGGTATTGCATAGCAGTTAAAAACAGTAACTTTAGGGTCAGGTTGCCTACATGGGAATCTCTGCCACATACCAGCTGCATGGCCTTAGACAAGCTGTCTCCTCATCCTTAAAATGGGGTCATAATAGAGAGTTGTACAGATTAAATGAGTTAGTATATGTAATTTATCAGAGTGCAACTTAGCTTCCAGTAGTGGCTAGGTTAAAGCCAAGCTCAGTTCACTGCTTTGGGCCCTCATCATCTTTATGTTCCCCTTCCTCTTAACGTCGTCTGTATCTTCTCAAGACTGAGTCTTTAACATACACAAAAATAAGAGACAGCTTGCTTCACATCTCAAAGCTTTGTAATGTTTCTTGACTGGCATTCACTGTGAAAAACAGGAGCAAGCGTTTCTGATCAGTTACATTTCAACGAGGCACTTTCCAAACAATCTCTGATTTTAATGATTTCACATTTATATATGGGATTTCCCTGCCCAGTTCCAAACGGAGCCTACGATAGTTAGGTTATAGGATGAGGAGGCAAGGCACATTGGCATACAGGATTCTTAAACCTTGGCCATTGCAGAAACTACCATACTTGGTATCTTGAAAAGACTTCTCTTAAAATAAATAAAATAATCATCATGCCCATCATTCTCCTTCCTTCTTTATCACGGCTTTGTTACATGCAATATAGGTCCAACTCTTAAAATACTTTTCATGTTTTCATCCCTTTGGGCAGGAGAGCTTACACGTACACAAATCAAATATCCTCCTCTTTTATATTTGCTTTACATAGTCCAGCGAAGTGTTATTCTGTTCCATTCTGTGATTTATATCACATCCATTGCCGTTTTGGTTAGATTCAAAGTGCAGTATTATAACATTTTTTTTTCTTACTAGCAAATAAAGGCCTTGCCTTGCAATCGAGGACTTTGATAGAACATGCAGCCCAGCTAGCTTCCCAGTCTCACCTGCTCTTACTTCCCAGCAGAGCCTAGTCTAGATAAAAGCATATTTGATATGCATATTGTTGGACAACTTTCTATTCAAACATTATTTCTAATTCTGGCTTTAGTGACCTTCGACTCTCCTGCTCTGTGCTCCAACTTTTAATCATTTCTTCTCAGTCTCCCTTTCTTTTTTTCTCCTCTTTGATTGCCTCTGAAGCCATTGCAATAGCTTCAATCATCACCTCTATGCATCTCATCCTCATGTCCTCCCCTCTGGGCCTGAGCTGTCCTCTAGGTCCAGTGCTGTAATCTTGGTAATCTTGGGCCTGAGATTCCACATGCCTGTTGATAGATGTTTCCACTGGGTATCCCTCCACCGACACACCTCAAAGGCAGCATTTTAATGTACTTAAATCCATATTCTTCCCATAAAACTTGATCCTCTTTGTTCAGTCTCTGTCCCTATTATTGGCAACACATCCATCAAGACACCCAAGCTCAAAACATTGGGGTTATCTTTGACTCTTCTGCTGATGTGCTATTAGACATTGTAATACGTCCTTGGTTTCATCCTCACAGAATTAGTTCAGGGACCCGAACACATAGTCTCTTGCAGGGCAGCTTCTTTCTTTGCTTGGGAAACGGATTCTCACATCGAATCTATCTGTGACATATATTCTTATCCTTTTTCACTATGCTCCTGGAGTTCTCTCAGTTCTCTGTGCTTCTCTCTTTTCTTCTAAACCCCTTCTAAAGGGAAGCATACAAGCCAGCACATCTGATTTTGTTATCTTACCTCATTGCCCTACTTTTTTCCTCTCATGCATCTTTTCACGCAACATGTACAGTGGAAAAAATATGATTTTTGGAATCAGTCTGAATACAGATGTGCTCTGTCACATTAATTTGCGCTCTACCATGTAGCTGCCTTGTCTGCAAAGTAGACATAGTATATCATCTTCCTCGTGGGGCTCATGTGAGGATATAATGATATAAGGAATGTGATATTCAGGCTCTGCACACTCAGCAACTCTCATACTAATTCTTATTAGTGGATGGGAGCATAGGAGCCCAGTGCCCTGCTCTCCATCTCTTCTCTCGCAAAAGCTCTGGGCCATATTTATTGAGCATCTCTGGCAGGAGCTCATTATTCTCCTCACCTTCACCATCAGTGGTTGCTACTTTTTTACCAGAATTCATCTCAAACACAGCTGACTCAGTGCTGGAAAAGAAAGGCATTTTTATTCCTTCCCATTTTTTAAAATGAGGAAACCAAAGTCCACAGAAGTTACATGGTATGCCCAAAGTGCATACTTAAAAGAGAATTTTGGGAAATTGTCTTTGGGAAATATGTCCTTGGATATAATAATGTGTTTTTATATTAGCTCTCTGAGAAAGAGTTGATTTCCATTTTTCTGTTTGTAGTTTTCCGTTTAGTTAATGATTAGGGTTTGAAGGTTGTCCTAAGAATGTGTGAGAAGAACTTCTACAGGGTCTACGCCATCATCCTTTTACCAGGCAGAACCAGTTGTATCCATTTCAGACTGATGGAAATAAATCCAATTTTAAAAGTGATCTAGATGGAACACTTACCAATTTCTTCTTGGATGGACCATTCCAGTGTTAAACTTTCCCTACTTTAAAGCCCTTTAAAAACAATTCTCCCTTGCATAAAGATGGGGGACAGATTACTTGCTGTATGGCCGAGTGATCATGTACCAAACTAAGCTTTAGTGTCAGAACCGAATTCCAGTTTCATCTTTGTCCTTTGCCACTTATGAGCTATGTAACCTTGAACAAGCTATCGAACATCTTTAAACCAGGAATTTTAATAGCTACTCATAAGCTTACTCTGCACGTTAAATTAGGTCATACATGTGAAGAACTTTACAGTATCTGGCTGAGAGTCAGAGCTCAATAAATGGCAGTGGGTACATATTAAGCCACATGCTCCTTCCAGGGAAGAGGTTTCATATTTACTACAGTCAGGGGAACTCAAACCATGAGAAAAACAAAACAAACAAAATGAACATTGTTGAAAATGACAGCCAAACAGTTGTATGCAGTGAGAACGTATAATTCTCTGAATAGTGATGACCACAGTTTTTCTTTTTATATTCCCTTCTCTTTTGGTTTCCAGGATGTAATATTGTCCTAGTCTTTTCTCTGCCAAAGAATTTAAATGATTTGGGAAAAATGTACAGCATCTACTTCTCTGTCTCATTAAATCTTATTTACAAGAAAAAGGAGTTAGTTTTGCAGGTGTCCCTTTTTGGTTGTTTTATTTACATAAAAATGATCTCCTGTCCGCTTCCCTTTTTTTTTCTCAAATGAGGAGGACAATGAAGATCTGAAATGCCAGCTGCAGTTCGTGAAGGAAGAAGCTGCTTTGATGAGAAAGAAAATGGCCAAGATTGATAAAGAAAAGGACAGATTCGAACACGAGCTCCAGAAGTACAGATCCTTTTATGGGGATCTGGACAGTCCTTTGCCTAAAGGAGAAGCCGGGGGGCCTCCCAGCACCAGAGAGGCTGAGCTCAAGCTGCGGCTGAGGCTGGTGGAGGAAGAAGCCAACATCCTCGGCAGAAAAATCGTCGAACTGGAGGTGGAGAACAGAGGCCTGAAGGCGGAACTGGATGATCTGAAGGGCGACGACTTTAACGGCTCGGCCAACCCCCTCCTGCGGGAGCAGAGCGAATCCCTGTCGGAGCTGCGGCAGCACCTGCAGCTGGTGGAAGACGAGACGGAGCTGCTGCGGAGGAACGTGGCCGACCTGGAGGAGCAGAACAAGCGCATCACGGCGGAGCTCAACAAGTACAAGTACAAGTCGGGCGGCCACGAGAGCGCGCGGCACCACGACAGCGCCAAGACCGAGGCCCTGCAGGAGGAGCTGAAGGCGGCTCGCCTGCAGATCAACGAGCTCAGCGGCAAGGTCATGCAGCTGCAGTACGAGAACCGCGTGCTCATGTCCAACATGCAGCGCTATGACCTGGCTTCTCACCTGGGCATCCGCGGCAGCCCCCGCGACAGCGACGCCGAGAGCGATGCGGGCAAGAAGGAGAGCGACGACGACTCGCGGCCGCCACACCGCAAGCGCGAAGGGCCCATCGGCGGCGAGAGCGACTCGGAGGAGGTGCGCAACATCCGCTGCCTCACGCCCACCCGCTCCTTCTACCCCGCGCCCGGACCCTGGCCCAAGAGCTTCTCTGACCGGCAGCAGATGAAGGACATCCGCTCGGAGGCCGAGCGCCTGGGCAAGACCATCGACCGGCTCATCGCTGACACCAGCACCATCATCACCGAGGCGCGCATCTACGTGGCCAACGGGGACCTGTTCGGACTGATGGACGAGGAGGACGATGGCAGCCGCATCCGCGAGCACGAGCTGCTCTACCGCATCAATGCGCAGATGAAGGCCTTCCGCAAGGAGCTGCAGACCTTCATCGACCGCCTCGAGGTGCCCAAGTCCGCGGACGACGCCGGCGCCGAGGAGCCCATATCCGTGAGTCAGGTACAGTTCTGCCTATTGCGAGCCACGGCGATGGCGAGGCTGGTCCGCGGAGCCGCGGTCCCTGGAGGGGCGACTCCGCGCACCGACCTCCAAGCCCCGCTTTAGGGAAGTCCCAGCTCAGAGCCTCTCTGGGCTTGGAAGCCCCATGGCGCACTTGTTCTTTCACACTGTCCTTCTTCAGGCCTGAGGTTTTCGTAGTCCAATCACTTAGCAACTATTCTCCCTCTGTTTTGCTTAAAAGGGAAATTTGCCCGCCTCCCCCTCTCTCCACCCCCCACCCCCAGTTTTTGTGTAAAGATGAAAGGATTTCTAAAATATATGATTATTGAAGGTCCACATTTTCAATATTACTCTACTGATTCTAATAGATTGAGCTGCAAGAAGATTCCGAATAGAAATCTTCAATTGCTCATCTGTGGTTTTCGAGCCGAGATTCAAATTAAGCTTAAAATATTTTCAAATCACTAAATGATCAGGATTGATGCATAACTCCTGGAAAGAATGTAGAAACCAGAGGTAAAGAGAGATAATATTGTGTCTGGATCCCTACCAAGAGGAGCAAATAGGAGCCGCTGATGTACCTACCACACGTCGAAGTAACATGATCTTTATTTCTAGAGAAAATCACTGTCGGCTCTATAACGGAGAATCTCAGGACTGGGGAAGGAGTGTTATACCTTAGCTTTAAGGCAACACTAATTCAGAGAAATAGTAATAACTATTCCCGAACAGGGAAAACCAGCATTTTTCCTTCATCCTAATTGTAGAGGCACACCCGATGAGTTGGACTGATCTCCTCTAGCCAGGTATGGTGGCCAAAGACTGATGCATTTTGTCAGGGTTAAGCACGGAAGAGAGTTTATAAAGCAAACAGGCAGTGCTACTCCTCTAGCAAGGCTGGTATCTTGTATCCATTGGAGAACCCACGGAAGAACAACAGCATGCATGGCTTTTAAGACACGCAAGAGGGTTAAACTTAAAAATCAGTTTATACACAGAAGCATGATATTAGATTAACTGCCTGTTAGTCACAACTAGAAAAATTGCAACCCTATCGCTTATTTATCTCGCATGCTGCTTTGCTTTGCTATTTAAAAAAAAAAACAAACTTTTATAATAAAACTTGTTGAATTTCGAAATATTAAAGATTTTTTTCCTCTATGTATTATATCACATAGTTGGTTTTTAATTTCCTAGTTTCAGATTTTTGAATACTTTAAGTATGTGGCTTTTCAATTATACTCTCAGGGTGAAGAGATAGAAATCAGAGTGAGAGAAAGTACTGTACATAATAGTAGGTTTTCAGACTTTGTAAATATATATAAGGGAGGGTTCTCTATTGTAAGTTGAATGAATGCTTAGATTAGTTGATATAAACTTAAGTTTTAAAAATTATTATTAATGAGTTCTTCTTTTTGTCTTTGCATTTACCTTCCCAGATGTTCCAGCCTATCATTTTACTTATTCTCATTCTTGTATTATTTTCATCACTTTCTTACACAACGATATTTAAACTTGTCTTCCTTTTTACACTGTTTTTTGTACTGTAAATCTCTCATCATTTACCATTCATTGTAGTATTTTCAGTTTGTTTGTTTTGTTCACCCTTCAAGACAAGAAGTAAAAGAAGTATAATTTCTGTAGTAACCAATGCTGTAAAAACACTGAAGACTGCTTATTTCTTTAAAAAGACACATCTTACCACTACTAAATTCAATAAGAAGCCTGAGCATTAAATGTTTCAGGTAAGGGAGTAAGTATGACTTCTCTTTTTATGAATCATTTAAATTTTTACTTCTTTCTTTTACATCTTGATTTGCACTCTTCTTAAATCACTGTAAGAATGACTGTAAAAATTGCCTAGATCTCTCAATTATTTCTCAGTATTTGACTATTATGATAATTCAAAAGCTGGACATTCACAAGTTGGTCACATCTTAGAAAATATATAGACTTATAAAGTACTTTTGCTAGGTTGCAACAGACTAACAACATAATTTTGATAACCAATAAATATCAATGAAAATTATGGTGAACAAATGAAATGTGACCATCATGGGAACTAAACTATTTATTGTGATACTGATGGTGTTCTGTCTAAAAAGATGTGTTTGGAAGCATGAGAGTGGATTAGGCCTTAGTTCATTGAGAAAGTAATTATCTTCATCCTACTACATTTGACCAGCTTCAACCATTCCAACCAAACCAACCATTTCTGCATTTACCTGTTATACTTGGAGCCATATATTGCTAATCAAGTTTTTGCCTGGAGTCCTGTCCTCTATAATAGGTTACCACACAGAACTGCTTCTGGGGCAGGAAATATGCTAGAAATACAGTATATTAAATATTTTGAGTAGGGAAAAGAATAGTCATTCTGTAGAATTTCATTAAATCACAGTCCAAAGCCAGTAGCATAGTTCCAGTGGGAGTTGCTCTCTAGACAAACTTACTTTGGTGAACCTCAACATTATCCTTTCTCCTCCTACCTAAAGTGGCCTGGATAGGTTTCCTGTACCCAGAAGGTCCTATTCTGTCAACCTCATTGGCAGTTTACAGAGTGGAAAGCTGGACTGCACTACTGTCACCAAGATTCAGAAATACTAGCACTCGTTGACGTCACAGACGTAGAGATACTTGTATGTTGGTTGGTGGATATGAAAATCTGTAGTAAAGTGAAGTGTCTTGCCCTCAGCATAAAAAGTAATATATGGAAAATCTTTGCTCTAATACAAAATTTGGTACTGGCAACAGTCTTTTGAGTCCTCATCCCCCAGCACGTCAGTTTCCCTTTGAGTATTAATTTAATAAAAAGGAAAACTACATAATAGTTTAAAATTTAGTTTATAATACCTGCTCTTAATATCCATGGTTTTCAATTTAATTTTGGTTTTCATTTTGTTTTGTTTTGAGGGGAGGAGAGACCGGGAGTGAGGAGTGGTTGACCAACAGTTCAAATCTGTCACTACATACTTGCGGCTTTTTGTCTTAGAGATTCAAATGGCTAGATAGAACGTCATGACAAGAACAAATGAAATAACATAAATGCTATACTTAATTATTCAAGTGTTACTTTTTAAAAATTCTCATCTCAGGAAAAGCAACCACTTTAAAAATCAAAATTTGTCTGTTAGATCCTTGGTCAACCCCTAGACCACCATCTCAGAGGAACCATTTTGGCAATGGAAGTGGAACTGAAGGTAAATGTTTGAGGCTGAAATTTATCTGAAATATTTATTGCCTTGGGAGCCAGATACAGCCAGCTAAGCAAGCAATGACTCTCAGCTACCTATGGAGCATTTGGTAGCTTATGGAGGTGTTGCCAGTTCCAGTCACAATGACTGGAAGCTCATTGGCATTTAGAGGAAAGGGGTCAGAATTTCAAATAATTGTCCTGCCCAGATTCCTAACATTATCCCTCTGGGGAAGCATGGCATGCAGTGCACTTGTTCACTTCAGAAGGATCGTGGATATTCAGTACCCTGTGTGGCTTTAAGAAACTGGCTTTAGAATTGAAACTTTCTTTACCACAAGGAGAATCAAGAACTAAATATCTAGATCAGTGGTTTTCAACCCTAGCCATACATCAGAATTCCTGGCATGCTTTTAGAATTGAGACCCTACTTCACACTAATTGAAACTGAATGTATGAGCCCAAGCATTTATATATGTATTTTTTTAAACTCCCAAGAACTAATTCTTGAGATGTTTGAATTATCAAAAATATGTAGATACAGCTTATACCAAGGTTATAGTAAACCATGTGATAATAGCTGTATAGAATCATCAGTTGTCTAGGTTTTTAGTAGACCTTAAAGTTCCAGGCATTCATTGGATATCCGTATCCTCTCTAGGGCATTTCCACCTTTGTCATATGGCCTTTGCCACAAGTCCTCTAATGACAAAGAAGTTCTCTTTCCACACTGGTGATAGTGTTAGAAAACTCCCCTTTCATTCATACAGGTGTTTAAAGCAAACAATATCAGAGAAGACGAATAGGAATAGTACATGACAGAAAGGAGAACCGAGGTCAGTATTGTGTGTGTGCAGGGTCACACACACACTTGGAGATACAGACACATGTGAATGCTGAATTAAAGCCTCAAGATGATCTCACACACACACCCTAACAAACCACCACTTTGTCGTTATACAGTCACCTCTGCTACAAAGCTTCCCCATGTGATCCACAGAGAGGATATGGTGTCCCAGCAAGAATGATGGATGCCAACTGATTCTACCCTCCAAACCCAGACGAGAAAGCATACATAAAGAGATGTGAGAATGGAGCAAAAAGATAGAGCATGGATCCTTTGTCTACTTAACAAACTTTTTTTTTTTTTTTTGCGGTATGTGGGCCTCTCACTGTTGTGGCCTCTCCCCTTGCGGAGCACAGGCTCCGGATGCGCAGGCTCAGCGGCCACGGCTCACGGGCCCAGCAGCTCCGCGGCATGTGGGATCTTCCCAGACCGGGGCACGAACCCGTGTCCCTTGCATCGGCAGGAGGACTCCCAACCACTGCGCCACCAGGAAAGCCCCTACTTAACAGGAAAGCCCCTATGTTAGGTATAGAGGAAATTGAGGTTCAGTTTCTACTTTTTCACAGCTTTCAATTGATTGATTGACCAGGACAGACATGTAAACAGCTAACTCTGACAGGTACTATTATTGAAGTGCAAAAAAAGGTTTGTGGTTGCAATTTATTGTTCATTGCATACCTGAGAGCATGTTAGATTTCCCTAAGAGAACACAATGAAACCCCTAGGCATTCTTGGATGGAATAATACCATAAATCAATGCAGGGCTGGTACATAGACCTCAACAATATCTTGTGACCTGAACAAGAAAGGAGATGCTAACCAAGGGATGGCTGGGCTAACCAAAACACCAGCCTTGCCCTCAGATCTCTTGTGAGGAATTAAAGTCATCTTGGCAACAAGGGTATTAATCTTACCTATGGCTTCCTAAGGCATTGACTTTATAGAAGAATTTCATGACAATTTTGAACTCCATCCAGGCTCTTTATATATGCAACCCCAGTAAGATAATGATGAGGGGAAACAGGACAGACTTGGAGGCTCTTTCCAACTGTGCTCTACCCACTGCGTAGCCGGCTTCTCAGTTTGTGCCTGTGTGTACGCACACACCTCTACACACTGTGGTGTACAATAGGAAATGCACCTAGTGTCAGAGGATTCAGACCTGCATCTATCTTAGGGGCCTGCTGGGGGCCGGTAGTTGGAAGGCGGTCTCAGCAGACTGCCAGCAGGCGCAAGGTGACCTTGTCCCTTGCTTTCTTCTCCCTGGCACTCCAGGCTGTTCTGTGAGCACCAAGGATCTAGGGTGCATCTCTCCCTTTCACCACAGGGCATAGCCACGGGAAGAAAAGTTAACAAAGATGGCACCCAAGACCTCAGAAAGAGAGTCCCCAATATCTCCTTCCCCTCCCCTTTGATCCTGTTCCTCACATTATCTTTGTTGTATAAAGCTAGCTCTAAAAGAGGAACGCCCAAGCTTCTTTGTTCATGAAGAAAACAAAATCCTCCAGTTATTGAGACAAGGAATCTTCTCATATTTGCGCCTTTGAATCTGTGCTATTTAAACATCACACTGAAAATAAGTTCAAACAAACAAAAAATTCCTTTGTGTGCACATTCTTGGGTGTAGGAAGGAGTGTCTTTGGTAATTTGGCCTAGATTTAAGAAAAAAAATTCAATTTGGCTACTTTTAAGCAGAACAGGCTCAAACTCATAAAACAAGGGAAAATTTGGTGCTCAGCCTGGAATGTGTATTGGCTTGCATTCTCCAGCCTTCATTTCAATCTGTGTGGTAGAGTGGGATGCGGTTATTTCATCAGCTGCCAATGAAGTTTGCAATGTCAATTTGGTAGCTAAGCCTTAACTCTAAATATTCATGCAGTGTTGGTAGCTATATTCTTACAGAACCACAGCCCACTTTCCTCTGGTAGAGTCATGCTTTGGGTGAGATGCTCTAATTGAATATAAGGATTGAAGAGAAAGTGGTAGAGGGTAATATCAGAAAGTGGGAAAAGTTGACAGCACTTTTAGGAACCACTTTCAAGTAGAGTGCTGTTATCATCTCGCTTGATCAGAGAACAGGAGCAGCAAAGGCAACACTTGCCTGTTAAAAATAAGGAAAAATCTCCACCTTTCACTTTCCACTGTCAGACCAGGCTGTGATGTCTCAAAGAACCTCATCTTATCTTATGACTCAGATGTTTATGTTTACTAAGCTTAAATGTATTGACATTTCTTGATTATTCAGTTTCATTGTTACAATTATAAAACGTTTTTTTAGTTCATAGTTATCTGAGTTTTCCTATAGCTAAATCAAATACCATGAAAATCCAACATCTGAAGATAAAATTGTAAGATTTTATAAATTCATAAAATTTACTATAAGAGTATATAGTCAGTGGTGTTCAGCAGTTTTTCAGCCTTTCAAAAAATATTCATGTAACTGTTTTGACTTGTGGATGAGAATGTTTCTTTGAATGTTGTCTAAACCAAAATTTCTGTTTAGGGTATTTCAAGTTCAGTTCATAATATTTTGCTTTTGTTTTGATTCTTTTTCTTTTAAATCATCAGAACATTTTTAGGCATATTGGGTAAATAATTTAAAAGTTTTCTCTTGTACCAAGATAGATATTAAATAAACAGTATGTTGGAGGATTGCACTAATTGAAAAACTAGAGCCTTTCAGAAACATTTAGAAGAGTTACTCATTTCACAAAATGGGAAGGGACCCTGAAGTACTCAGGAATGATACGACTATTTCAGGAGCTTTGTTATACTGCCGACTCCAAAGATGGAACTCTGGAAATCATTGATTCTGAAAAAGTGTGCTTTACATGTTTTTTTTCTGTCGTCTCTTCTGAGTGTTTTGGGTTGAGCTGCTTATAAAATCTGTGTTAACAAGCAAGAGGCATAAGTGATCATCGAAGGCTGACAAACATTTGTTCCTTTCTGAGATTCTTCATAATGTACCTGTGAAGTCAGCAAGTCAGCTCTTTGAGTTCATGTTGAAAGTTCCTGCCTTAACCTACGTGTTTGAAAATTTAAAGAGTCTGAGGGGCAGAGAGAAGCTCATCAGTTTGTCCACTTGCCTCAAATGGCTTAGTAAGGAAAGAGAATTTAAGAGCTTTTTTAAAAAAAATACCTTATAGTGTCTTTTATTTGTTAATGTCAGAAAACTCAGTTTAGCATCTAGTTTGTAATTCCCTTCTTTTTCATGAACATGTGCGATTTTTGTACAATCCATTCCCTTTGTCATTCCCTCTGTATTATTAACTCCTGGACAGATAAAACAGACTTAGACTATTTAAATAGACATCCTATGTGTCAGCCTAGATCAGTTGTTTAGAACTTTGAAGGGGGCAGGGGATGGTGGTTAACATAATGAGTCAGCAAAATTAATTTATTCTGGATTTTGGAATCTGAGCTCCTTCACCTGAAAGGAAGTGTGTATCTGCAGAAGCACCAGAACCACTGTATGGAAGGTCTTAGCATTATTCTACCTGCTTAGACTCCATGTAGTGGAAAAAGCCCCAGGAAAGCAGCCAGAGGAGGTAGTTGAAGGAAAATGAGGATCCCCCAGCAATGGACCTTCAAATCTTGGAGTGAGAAAGCTCTCCAGGAAGAGAAACTCATGCCTCTGGTCACACTTGTCACTTTCGAGGGAATGTGATTTATTCCCAAGTAGCTATTTGTTTGAAGTACTCATATTTGTGGAAAGTAGATGGATTAAAAACAGTAGGGTAGATGCAAAATAATTGGAAAAGAAAGAATGAAAGAATCTTACTGTGCAAAATAGTTCAGTGGCAACGACAACAAAAGAATATAGTGTAAGGGCCAAGCATAGGTGTCAGGGCGTTGTCAGAGTCTCTGTGGACTTAACTAAGAGACCTTGGTGTAGAGAGTGGGTCCAGCTATCTCTGCACAAGTCCTCTGATTGGAGTGGACCCAAGGCTACACTGAAGTGTGACTGTGGGCCTCCCTTCCTGGACCCTCATCTCCAGATCCTTTACCGTAGCCTTCTCACATCATGATGCCGTATTCCTTTGCACCTGGGCACCAAGACCTCTCACATTAGCCCCTCAAAATCTAGCACCACTCATACAGTTCCTCTTTTTGATCTTCCGTCTCTCTCCCTGCTCCACGGCCCACGAATGAAAAAGACGACTTTCCCCGGGCTCCGATCAAAGCTTACCTGTATTGACTGTTCCTTCCAGCCCTTTTGTGTGTTAGCTGTTCCTTTTTTTCTTTTACATGGGTTTGTAATCACAGCAATTGAGTTATCTAAACTTCAATTGGTTCCTCTTTAGAGTTTCTAGTTCCTTGTTACACTGCTCTGCGCTTCTATCAATCATCTTTCTTACTCCTTTAGCATTTTTATTACCTCCTCTTTGAACTAGGGGTCTAGTAGTCTGGAGAGATGTTTCACTGTTTGTTCTTTCAGGGGATTTCTCTTGTTCTTTTAATTGGGAGTAGCAGCTCTCCTTTTCTGAGCAAAGTTGTGACTAGCCAGTAATCGCTTCCTTTGTCAATGGCATTTCATTAGACAATTACTAAAAATATAATGCTGTCTCCTATTTCTGGTAGAAGATATAGGTGGGGTAGCAACACCCTGGGATGGGGCAGGACGGGGAGAATACAGATCAGTTCCTTTGTCCTTCAAATTATACTCCCTAAATGGCCTCTCTTAGCCCTGCTTTCCTGCTAGAACTTCCTAACAGAAGTGACTCAGGGTGGCCCTCTTGTGGTGGAAAGTCATTCCCAAGGCCCTTTTCTGGAATGAAATGAGAGGTAGCCCTAGAACAGTTCCTGTATCACTTAGCTTTTGTTGTCATCATTATCAATATCTCCCAAGTAAAGAATCTGGAAATAATATAGTGAGATGCTAAAAACAAATTTGAAAACTGTAAGGAAGATCTGTCTCTAGTCTTAAATAGCTCACGTTTTAAAAATGTTTTATTGTTTTGTTTCTTCAAAATATAGACCAGTACTTTAAAAAATAAAATAAAACAGATAGTTTGAAACTGTTTCTTTTGAATATTTCTGTCATCTGGAAATGCCTGTACATAATCCCCATGACAGACTTGCTTGGCTAAAAAATCTGTTGACATGTCACCATCCCTCAGAATAGGAGAGACAGCCAGCATCCCGTGATTCTAGGGAAAAACATTCAGCACTGGGAAAATAGCACGTTAGCTGAAACACAACAACCTAAGCATGTAACTTCCATGGATAATAAATACTTTGTGTGTCACTCTCATCATTTTATAATCTAAAACAGATTCTGATAAGTGTCAACCTATTTCTTTTA